GATACAGCACCCACTGAGCCAGGGATACAGCACCCACTGAGCCAGGGGCACAGGGCCAGGCCCAGCACTCCTGACACACTGACACTGCCCTCACAGGCAGCTCATCTTCTCTGCCCGGAGTGAAGTCACTGTTTAGCTCAAACTCAACCCTGACAGAGTTGCTCAGACAACCCTCATCTTCTCTCTCCTCCCTGAAACAGCTCTTCAGTCAACCCCACCTTTTCTCCTCCCTGAAGCAGCTGTTCAGACAACCTCTATGTTCTGTACTCCCTGAAACAGCTGCTCAGACAACCCCATCTTCTCTCTGCTCCCTGAAACATCTGTTCAGACAACCCTCTGTCTTCTTTCTGCTCCCTCTTATCTTGCTTCCCCAAAAATCCACCCAAAAGCTCGATATGAAGGCTGAGTGAAAAAAGCCAATGCAGGTCCAACTGCTTGTTAGATTGTTGGTCAGTGGTTTTTCCTTTTAGCTTTGGTACAGTTTCATTACCTTCAGTTGACACTTGTGGCTGTACTGCAGTAGCAGAGGTAACACAGCAAAATCATATTCAAGGACAAAACCTTCCCCACACAGAGAGAGGGAAGAAGATGCCCTCAAAGAACAGGCTCTTTCAACCACTGTTCCTTTTGGTTGGTAAGTGCAGTGTTAGAGGAACAAAAAAAACCCCAAAATAAGCAAGGTTTTCTTTCACATTTTACACAGATTGTATTGAGTTCAACTGCAGTCTGAACCACAGGAAAAAAATGCCACCTTGAAACTTCCAGAAAAATGAAGATATTGAATGGGAAGATCAGAAAACACTTGTGAAAGCCCCAGGAGGCAAATGCAGCTCCCTGATCCCAAAGCCCCTGCAGCCTTACCCAGGTAAGTGATGTTCTCAGCCAGCTCACAGCCACTGACGTCCGGAAAATAGCTCAGGGTGTCCTGGTTGTTGGCACCCAGCACGTAGGTTGGGATTGGAGCTGAGGGAGAAAACCTCCTGCAGTTAGTCAGCTTTACTTCCAGTGCCCCAGCAGAGGTCCAGTCCACGCTTCCCAGGAATCACAGCAGGAAAGCCTGTCCAGCCAGACCCCCCAGCCCACCCTTGCAATGCTAAGGAGCACCCAGTGCAGGACAAGGAGCCTTCCTGCAGAACAAGTCCCCAGACCTGGAGTTCCCACAGCTGCAGGCAGAGCAGAACCTCTGCTCTAACTACAACTGCCTCCCCTGCCCATGTAAGATTAGCTCCAAAATGATCCACAGCCCTAAAAACAGGGACATTCCCTAGGCCATGCTGACAAACCCCGGAGCACAGAGGCAGTGAATTCACACAAGGGAGTTTTGGTTCCAAACGAACCCCTGTGTCCCTGCTGGGGTGTGACTGATCTGACACAACCGCTGCTCCTGCACTCCACAGCGGGCTGGGAAGCAGTGCCAGCATCCCGAGGGACAGCACCCTCCCTCCTTACCTTTCTTGGCCCCCGTGCGGTACTCGGCCCATTCCGCTTCTGAGGAAGAGCCGAAGAAATTCCCGACACACAGGAGCATCTGAAAACACCGGGAAAGGCAACCTTTACCGTTGGAGCGCAGACAGAACGCACACAACGCTTCGCTGGACTGTCACAACACTGCGGCTGCGACTGTCCCAGCCCCGCCATCCCGGCAAGGCAACGGGAACCCCCCGGGAATGGGGACCCCCCGCGTCTCGCCAGCCCCCCGGGCCTTACGTCGAAGCGGCCGCTCTTGGCCTGGATGGCGCGGACCCGCCCGAAGATGGTCTCCAGCCGCCCCTCCACGTCGCCACACGCCAGCCTGCGGGACACCGTGCGTCAGCTTCAGCGGCCTCCTCTCCCGCGGCCACCTCCATCCCGCCCCGTCCCATCCCGTTCACTCACACGCGCAGCGGCGCCGCCATCGCGGAGATGCCCGACCGGAACCTCCCGCCACTTCCGGGTGCTCCCCCTCAAGGTTCCGCCGCCTCCCGGTGCGCCGCCCAAAGCGCTCCGGCGGCGCCGACGGAATCTCGGCAAAACCAGCGGGAATGACCGGGAAATGGTAAATCCCGGTGTCCGCAGGGAAGCGCCGGTGAGCCCAGCCTGCCCCCGGGGACCCTCGGGTGTCAGAGGGATGCCAAGGGCACGGCCGGCTGGAGTGGGACGGGAAGACTTTTTGCTGGAAGTGCCAAGCGAGCTGAGCCAGCCAGACTTTCCTCGGGTGAAAAGGCAAAATCCCAGTGGAAAAAAAATCGGAAGAATGAAATGAAGTATTTTCTATTTAACACCCTTTGTTACACTGTCTTTCTCATGGGGCGTTAGTGCTGCAGGCGGCGTTAGCACTGAAATGACGAAAGTGCGTGAAGAAGAGGTGATCTGGTAAGGGAGGGGTCGGTGTCAGAACCGACTGAAATGATCACTGCAGGTGATTATTTACACTGAGCTACTATTATAATAATTATTATATGCTTATTATACATATCGAGATATATTTTAATATTTATTTTTATTTTATTATTATTATTATTATTACAACCACTTAACGAAGTGAACACTGACACCAGCAGAGCTCTCCAGTAATGGTAGACAACAGCTTTTGTAATATATTCATAATGCTTTATAAATAATAATGCCTTATAAACAAGCAATACCTTACAAAGGTATTTTTAAATTAACTTTTTAGGTATTTTTATGAATGTTCTACAATGTTACCGTCTGCATTCTCTAACCCAGAGCTGAAATCTGAGGTAATGATGCTGGGGTTTATTCCCTCCGGAGTGAAACGTTCTACATTTCAACAGTCACAAGAAATGTAAAATAACAACTTTTATTTTAAGCTTCTGTCTCTCTGAACCTTTCAATGTGCATATGCTGCTTGTGTGGCATTTAATTATAGAGCTCGTGAGGGGTTTTTTGGATATGTACAAACACTTTCCTGTTGTCACATAGGGCACAGCCTGGAAGGAAAAAATGTGTAAAGTGTGAACCTTCCACTGGCCCAGGTTGCTCCAAGCCCCATCCAACCTGGCCTTGGACACTTCCAGGGATGGGGCACCTTTGCCAGGACCTCGGCACTCCAAAGAGCCAGCAAAGGTGCTTGTTTTCCAGCGGGGCCGAGTGGGAGCCCCTTGAGGAGCCCCTTTTCCCCGTTTCCCTGGCGGTAACTGCACCCAGGGCGCTCCGGGCCGTCGCTCGCACGCGGCGGGCACGGGCCGGGGGCTCCGCTCACCGGCGGCTCCGAGGGCACCCGAACACGCTGCGCCTCGCTCCATCCCACCCCGCTCCGCCGAGCGGCTCCAGCAGGTCATGAACGCTGACCCACCGCAAAGGGCTCGCTCCCCTCCCCATCCCTATCCCCAACCCGAGGGCTCCACGGGGCGGGGACGCCCCTCAGCCACCTCCCCTCATCATGGCGGCACCGCCCCGCGTCATGGCGACCCTTCCGCCTCCCCTCGGCGCCGCGGCCCCTCGGCCGCCCCTCAGAGGCGCCGCCGCCCCACCGCCGCCGCCGCGTCCCCTCAGCGAGGCAGCCCCTCGGCCTCCCCTCGCCCCGGCGGCCCCACCGCCGCCCCTCCGCGGCACCGCCGCGGCCCCGCCGCCTCCCGCCAACATGGCGGCCCCTCCCCTCAGCGGCGCCGTCCCTCGGCCGCCCCTCAAGATGGCGGCCCCGCCCCTCGCCGGTCCCGCCCGGCGCAGCCGCCGCTCCGCAGCGCGGGCCTGGGGCGGGCGGATCGGGCCGTGTGGCGGCGGTCCCGGCGCGGCGGGATGGCGCTGCCGCAGCAGTGCGAGGCCGTGTTCGGCACGGCGGACCTGTACGGCGCGCTGGGCGTGCGGCGGGAGGCGTCCCCGCAGGAGATCCGCCGCGGGTACCACCGCGCCTCGCTGCGCCTGCACCCCGACCGCGTCCCGGCCGAGCAGAAGGAGGAGGCCACGCGCCGCTTCCAGGTGAGCGCGGGAGGCGGCGGCGGGAAGGCGGGAAAGCGGGCGGGACACCCCGGGTGACCGACACACCGACCCCCGGGTGACCGACCCACCGACCCCCCCGAGTGACTGACCCACCGCCCCCCCCATGACTGACCTGCCACCCGAACTGAGTGACCAGCCCACGGACCCCCGAGTGCCTGACAGACTGTCCCCGAGTGACCGACCCTGACCGACTGACCACCACCCTCCCGGGTGACTGAGCCACTGACCTTCTCCGGAGTGACCACCCTACCACCCCCCAGGCGGTTGCCCCACTGCCCCTCAAGTGACTGACCCACCAACCCCAAGTGACCGACCCACCAACCCCAAGTGACCGACCCACTGCTCCCCCACCTGCTGCCCCCCAAGTGACTGACCCACTGCCTGCCCCCGAGTGACCGATGCCCCCCAGTGACTGCCCCCTCAATGACCAGCCACCCCCGTGTCCCGCAGATCCTGGGCAAGGTGTACGCGGTGCTGAGCGACGCCAAACAACGTGCCCTGTACGACGAGACCGGCACAGTGGATGAGGATGCTGAGGTGCTGCAGGGAGACAGGGACTGGCTGGAGTACTGGCAGCTGCTCTTCAAGGTGAGAGCGGCACTGGGAGCCGGAAAAACCCTCCAGTGTTTCTTTTTTTGTGTATTCTCTCTTAAATCCTTCTGGTGAGCAAGTCCTGTACCTCGTGGAATTACTCATGTAATCTCTTCGCTCCAGCTCACCGTAAAAGACATCGAGGACTTCCAGAACAGCTACAAAAACTCAGAGGAAGAGCTGGAGGATGTGAAGGCAGCGTATCTGAACTTCAAGGGTGACATGAATCGGATCATGCAGTCCGTGATGTGCGTGGACTACACGGACGAGCCGAGGATCCAGGCAATGATCGAGCGAGCCATCGACTCTGGGGAGCTCCCGTCCTACCAGGCCTTCGTGAGGGAGTCAAAGCAGAAAAAGATGTCCAGGAGAAGGCGGGTAGGTTCTGTCAGTTGTTTACCACAACCTTTTTATCTCCCTCGGCAGAAATAAGTGATGCTGTTCCTGTTTGTCCCGGGATTGCCGAGTTCCACACCTTGCTCAGTGTTCACATTTGCTCACCTGTGTTCATCACAGCCCACCCCAAATCGCTGGGAAACAGTTTTTTCCCTTCTTTTATTTCATTATTATACACAATGGCTTATTACACATGTCCCTGCATTTATCTACAAAGCTGTGAGTTGTTGAAGTTAACAAAAAAAAAACAAGTGGTGAAAATACATTTTGCTTGACTTTTGGCAGGTGTGAAACTGTTTTGGACTAGATGGACTCTTGTCCAGACACTTTGTAGAGTGTCACACGCACATCACAGTAACCTTTCACTTAATGCAGGATCTGCTAAGGCAAAAAAGATATAGATAGGGGAACAGGAAAAAACATCACATTCAACATTGTGAAAGAGCAGAAAAACTTCCCTCTCTGCTAAATGATGGAACCTTTGCCTGAGTCCTCATCTGTGGCCAAACTTGGAAACCCTTTGTGTTTCCTTGCAGCTCTTTGTACACAGATGCCAAAAAGAAAAAAAAAAAAAGCTTTTGGTAACTCCTGTAAGACTTTGTCAGATAACATGCAAAATGCTCTTTTTAAAAAAAAACTTGTTTGCTTTTTCAGGCAGAAAAAGAAGCTAAAGAGGCAAAAAAGACTAAAGATGAACTGGGCCTTGGTGAAGAAAATGACTTGCAAGCGCTGATTCAAGTAAGGCTCTTTCTGTTTGTTGCAGATAATTATGTTACTGGCTTATAATTGTGTTTTCCCTGAGCATCTTTGATTTTGGATCCTTGCAGCTCTTCTGAGTTCCTGAGGTTAAAACCTTAATGCTAACCATGTACTTTAATTAACAGAGTATGGTATGGATTTTATTGCCTGTGTCTCTTTAAAAATTAACAAAGTTATTCCACGTGCACTCAAAATATTTAATTTCTATTTGCAGGCAGTTAGACAGAGAGTGTCAGTAATGGTACTAAACTTTCTATAGATTGTATTCCCTGTTCAATGTATTCCAAGATTTTAGGTAGCTATCAGGCTTCAACAGAATAACCTGTATTGGGAAGTTACAGAAGCTTTGAATTTGGTTGGTTTTCTTTTCCCCCTCCCCAGCGCCGAAGCAAGGATCGAGAAAGGGAAATGGATGACTTCTTCGCCCAGCTGGAAGCAAAATATGGGAATAATGCCAAGAAAGGAGGAAAGAAAACTGCAGCCAAGAAGAGGAAGACATAAGGAACGATGTAGGCTGAAGTACCGGGTCTCATTTTGTATGGAAACGTGGATTTGGGAGAAGGTGGGATTGTTTCTGGGCTCCTGTTCTGGGCTGTGTGCACTGACTGGCTGGGACTGGGAGGCGTGACAAGGCAGACAGAGCATTCCTGTGCTACTGCTTCAAACCCTTTGGGTGCTCTGCAGTTGAGATCCATGGGTGCTGTTCACACAGTTCTTCCCTAACGAGCCTCCTGCTGTTTTTAAAGGTCTTTGCACATCAGCTCAACAGGTGTTTTTCAGATATTCCAGTAGTTTTATATAGTTTGGAAAACTGCAGATTTAATAAATGAGAAGGTTTTTTTTCAGAGTTCTGTGCTGTTGCTTCCCCAGTTCTCTCTGCTTGTTTTCTAAGTAGCTGTTCCAAACAGACTGATTGTGTTGATTCTCCTGATTTCAGTCAAGTAAATCCTGCACACTTCCATTTGCAGGATCATTTTTCAAAGGCTTAGGAGCCACGAGGTGAGCACTTTGAAGGCCCTTCTTGCTTCAACACCAGCATTCAGGGAGCTTCCTGGGGGGAAGCCAGAGGTAGAGGGTCACTCTGTTCCCCTTTACTTGCCTGCTCCTAAAAATTACCCTGATTCTGAGAGAGTACAGCATATCATTGTGTTGGATAACACAGGGCTTAAAGGATACTTTTGTTACACAGAATAAATAAATAACAGCCCAGGATCAGTCTCTGGTGTCAACCATCTGTACAGAAAACACGAGCTGGGCCTTAGGAGGAGACTGCTTCACTTTTTTATTTAAACACACCGACTCCTCTAGGCTATAAAACACTACATTATGTTACCAGCAGTCTATTCAAGTTTATTTGTCTGGTTTTGTAACTCTTGTGCTACAGAAAACTCACTTTGTCCCTGAGGAATGGCATGGATACAAATGGGATGCTTATCTGCAGTTTGCCTGACAGAACTGACACACTGTACAATATTCCAGCAGTCCCAAGTGTTCAGGGAAATTGTATTTTGTAGAGGCCTCTGGTTAGCATCAGGTTCTCTCTCTGCAAATTTGAGAGGTTTAGATTGAGATCAGAGCTGCTCTTTTTTTTTTTTTACCTTCTGGAAATGCAAAGACAGGTTAACCGAGTTACATTTGCACAGTTCCCTGTTCTTGATGAAAGCATGCTTGGATCAACTGGACTCAAGATCTTCATTATTGATTAAAAATTATTAGCTGCTCTGTAGGTAACATAACTTGGAGTGGGGAGATAGGGGAGATACTTCCTAAAGAACACTGACAAGTTTTTGTCCATTATGAACAGTAATTTGAAGAACAACAAAGAAATTAGGAAAAGAAGTGCTCTTGAATAGGACTAGAAAGCAACAACTGTTTTTGTGCAGTGTCCTGAGTTTGTCGGAGTACAGCCAGTGATTATCCTCACCTTGTTTTTACACTTTGGTCTGTTTGGGAGTAAGACTTTCAACTAACCACTTGTTTTGAGAAGCCTGTACTTCATGGGGTTTTTTGTCTTATCTGGAGCCACAAGGGCAGCTGCAGCAAACACCTCCTCCAGGTCTGTCACACGGTGCAGACACAGCTGCTAAAAGCTCCAGTGCATCTGTGGCTTGGGGAGAGCAGAAATCTTGTGTAATTTCAAGTATTTTAGAAAGGGAGAGACTGAGCCATTCTCTGAAATCACCATAAAGTATCTCACCAGGAAGACAAGTGTATTTTCTTGCAGTAGTGTGTGAAACTGCTTGTAGTGAGAGGCTTCTTGTTGGCTGCTAACCCTTCTTCAGTCACTGAGGAAGAGGTGTAAGGTTAAATAACTCGGGAGGAGGCAGTGGTTGCTGCCTGTGGAGCTGTCAGTTCACCTGCTTTGCTGCCTTAGTCCTACACACCTGTGTCCAGACACCTGCTGCAACTACTGCAGGATCCAGCACCTGCCTAAGCTGAGCTGTAGAAGCAGAATCGAGTGCAGTGCTTGCTTTTCCTAGTACAATATTGCTTTAAACGTATTTGAATATATAAATACAGCTTAAAAAAATTTACATTACTACTTCTGTGGAAGGCCTGGGCAACCTTCTGTGGAGCTAATGAAAAAATGAGCAGGTTCTGCAGTACCTGCCTTGTAAGGACATGGACCCATCACGAACCTCCCAGGAACACAGCAGTGGCTGAGTGTTTGCTGGGTTTCCTAGGAGTTAGGCTTTCCTGGAGTACCTTCACCCTTCCACTGGAGTATCACTTTCTCTACTGGTAGAAAATGGAATGTTTAAGTGTACCCCTTCTAATCTTTGGCAGCTGCTGCTTAGGTTTATATAAAAATAACTATTTGTGAGGAAGGGTGTTTGAAAACTCTCTGTAAACAACGTTGACCTTGCTGGGAATGAGAGGTGGCTGATGACTCTGCAGAGCTGGATGGATGGATGGATTGGACACTTCCCCATGGCACCTCAGAACCCCTGTTTGCTTTTTGTGCCTGATCCACTTCGACTGTGGCCTTTCACAGAACCACGTGGGAGGAGACCTAAGAAACAGAGATCATGGACAACTTCAAGACTTCTGAAAGGTATTCAAACTAAGTACCAAATGCATCTCCCTTAGCTTCAAATTAAAATGCCTTTTTTTAGTCTCTTTATTCTAATGCATTATTTATAACTTCCAAAAGGGGCAAAGTTTGTGCTTGCCAAGTTGCTGCATTGTAGGGAACTACTGTATTCCTTGATATTTCACCAAGTATTCAAGACTATAAAGTTCTGCTAATTTAATTTTTCTTTTTTTGTTAATACAGCAGTCATAAAACTCATCCTGCTTTTTTTTGATGGGGGGAGGAGATATTTATTTTAATTTCAGCAGGAGTCCCTCCTTGCTGGTTTAAAAACAAATTACTTCTGTTAGTGCCTTTTTTAAACTCAAATTGCCTCTTGTACCACTTATATTAGTGGTAGGAGGCCATTCAGCTATTAAACAAGCTGAAAGACCCCTCACATGCTCTAATAATCATTCATTTACTTGCTGCCTTAACCTTTGCAGCTTCCATTCACTGTTGCAGCCTCAATCCTATGTGTCAGCACATTTTTCTGTGGGAGATCCTGACAGCCCCATAAGGAGTGACACAGTACAAGCAACTCTGATTTCAGAGGATGCATGTGAATTGTACTGGTACAGTTCCTGTCTTTCCAATATATTTTGACTTGATCTAATACACATCTAGTACAGATCTAGTAGAACCCCTTCCAGATACAGTGCAAATTAGTTTCTTTTGGACATAATGCAATTTTTTTCAGTTGCACAGTTGAGCAGAAGGAAAAACCCCTTGGGCATAAAGTAGATGCTGCTGTTTCTGTTGAAGTTGGCAACTCCTGCTTTTCACTTTGACATTGAGAGGCACTGGGGCAGATTACATTAAACTTCCTCAAGTGATTTTAAATACTTGGTGGTAAAAAACCAAACCCAAACTGCACCCAGCCATACTCTGGAATAGAGTGGGATACAGCCAGGATAAAACCTGTGTAATGGGAAATTAAAGACACAAATAGAACTTGGAAAAACCTCCCCGGTGCAGTTACCTGGAGGAATGTATCCCTGCAGGAAGTGCATCCCTGTCCCAAAAGCCTACCCCTTGCTTGATCTTACTGAATCCTGTGCCTGAAGAACATACCTGAACCTGCTGGTGCTCTGCTTGTCCAGGATTGATTACTGTGCTCCAGAACGGTGCAGGAACGGCGGCGCTGGGAATCTGGCTGAGAGGGCAGGGGAAAAATGCAAACAGCAAGATTACAACGCAGCTACAAACTATTTGCCTAGTTGGCAAGATGCTGTAAAGGCCTAAGTAAAGCTTTGAGGAGGATTAAATCAACTTTAGGAGTAGAAAATATATTTTTCTAACGCTTATTTGGAATAATCACTGGGCCAGTTAAAGACATTCTGGAAAAATTGTTCTGTTTCAAAACAGACTTTAGAAATTGTGTACTCTCGCAACTGCTGAGTCAAGGATGTTGAATCAAGCAGCTATTTAAAAGCTATTGCTGAAATTGCAGCTTTTAAAGCTTAGACAAAAAACAATTTGCTGGATAGGACAAGATATCAGTAGAGTAGGTGCTTATTGTTTGATACTGAAACAGACTGGGCATTGATTAGTGTTAATTCACCAAGCACTCTCTGCAGTTATTAAGGATGATGTGGTGTAATTTGCCATGCTTTACCAAGGATGTGTTGGTTGTGTTAGGCCTGGAGAAAGGATCAGGCAGGAGGAGCTGCTCCTGGAGCTGCTGGTGAGCATCTTCTTGTGTCGTTACACTGTGAGCACGACTTGAGCTCCCTCGAGGTTTCTGCAGGGAAGGGTAACACAGTTATGGCTTCTTCTCACTGCAGCAGCACGTTGGCAATCCTCAGCCTAGGAATTAAAGCTAATTTTCCACATGAATCATTTTGCAACCTAGTTACGAGGAGGAAAACGTTCTGGCATGAATGAGAATTAAGCAGGCAACTGTGGGTGATGTTGTTAGTCAGAACTGCTGTGACAGTTTTTGTGCATCCATTTGACTTGCTGTCACAGGGTAACAGATAAATTGGGACTTTGGGGCTTGGCAGTTTGATCAGCAGTGATTACAACTTTAGACTATTCAGCAATAAAATGGAATTGTTTCCTTTACCATTTGCCTCTGGGATCCTGTGGTGCTCCCACGCTCTGCCACGCTGGAGGTGGCAATAGGGGGCAGGGGGTGATTTCGGTTCAGCAGCACTGGGGAGGGGGAGGTCAGCTGCTCCTGTGCAGTCAGACTGAAAGGCACCAGTGAAAAGAGGAAAAAAAATACAGTTTATATGTTTGGCACGAGGAAAGGGATAATACTGTCATTTTGTTTGGCCTTCTGGAGTTGACTGTTCCATAAGAACACCTTAGAAAAGCTTGGAAACATTTTAAAAACACTTTCCTAGCGCTCTCTACATTTAAAAATATATAATAAAGGTGAGATGTTAACATTTGTTAGACTGATTGAAGCCTGAGGAAAGGGAACAGAAGCATAAAATACTGGAAGTAGAAACATCAGTTGTGGAAGGACAAGGAATTAATCTCTAAACACTACGTGACAAGAAAATAACAGGCTCAGTGAGTTTATACATAAACTACAAAACTGAAAGGAAACTACAACGATTTGCAACACATGGAATACCAGAGGTATATCAAAGCCTGCATTGTTTCTTGATACCCTGTGGTCCCTGTAAATGTGCAAAATAAGATGTTTTATCTGTGACTGACTGGTTCACTGAGTTCCTTAAGAGCACTTTGGTCAGTCAGATAACCTATTTTAACATATTTACAGCCCAGCCTGGGCTAGGATAGCAACGTGCAGTTTCTCCTCCAAAAACTGTAGACTTTTAAATTCATCTTGCAAACAGGCTCCAGAAAAAGAAAACCATGTGAAGAAAGAGATGGTGGTGTTGACTGAGGTGCCAAACCACCTCTGTGTGTGTCTGTGATTCAGTGAATCGCAGCACGGTGACCACCAGCCTTAGCCCCTCAGCTTTCTGGGGGCAGCTGTGCTTTGAGGGGCAGCTCATTTCTTTAACCCCGTGTTCCTCCTGCCCATCTGCCTGTTTTGGTGCCAGCTGGGCTCTGTGTTAGCCTGCAGGAGGGGCGGGTGGGACGTACAGCCGAGCGGCGTCCCCGGAGCGCGGGGTCCCGGTGCGGGGCTGGCTGCCCGAGATGGGGTGCAGGGTCCGGGGAGGGGGGTTCCTCCTCCTCGTGGAGCGGGACAGGGAGGATGTGCTGAGCTCCAGAGCACGATTTGGCCACGTTCTGATGGAGAGGATGGAGCTGGAACCCGGCCGTCTGTCATCCAGGTCCCTGACAAAACAGACCAACAGGGAGATGGTCCCGTGCCCAAAGTACTCACCCACGCGTGGCATTAATCATAAAATACACGGGCAGAAACGATGTGTCTTCATGTTTAACAGAACTAGATAATCTATAATACTGTTTCACTGTATCCTAACACTTCATTTTTCACAGAGGACAAATAAACACACAAGCAGGGAAATAATTGAGAAGAGCTTTCTCACAATTTATCTCACAAAGGTTTGCGCTGAATCCCTCTCACTGTGAGAACGCTCTACTTTATTTACAACAGATGATCTGTAACTCTTACAGTGTTTTCTCCACTACAGGCAGGTTCCTTTGGTGTAACTGGATCCCGTGGATCACCATCAAGCCATTCAGATTATGCTGAGAGCCACTACTTGACCCTTGAGAGAGACTGACCTGAAATTTAAAAAAAAAAATAGTAAGTAAATTACTGCTTGGCAGAGATACACTTACAGATTTTGTATATAATTTTGGAGAAAAGTCACTAATTTCTTCCATGACATCCAGATATATACTCAGTTTTATATTATTTCTTCATCTAAGACAAGCATCTTAGCAGTCCTTTTTTTTTTTTTTTTTTCTGCAAATGGTAGTGGTTAGACAATGTATCCTAACACTTCATATTTTCCAACTGAGCAGCTCACTTGCATGACAGGATCTTCCAACAATTACTATAATCTGAAGTTTTACAAAGCTAATTTTGAGTGCGTGTTCACATTTTGTATCTGCAAATACAGACTGATCTGGAAAAACATCAAATTCCACCCACCAAAACAACAGAAAAGAGAAAACAGCAGAGCTTGAATCCCTCCAGGATACATACTTGAGGTGTTTTTCTTCTCTTTTTGCTTTTGCGGCCACATCTGGGTTTTGGGCACTACACACACAGTAAGGGAACACGAGGAACAGGCAGGGGTAGAAATAAAGGAGAGAGAAATAAGGACAGAGTTGAATTAAAATGGAATAAAACAGGTAACACTTTGGTGCTCACCACTGCAGGAGCAGATCATCCAAAGCAGATTATGCAGTTAAAATCAGTGTCTGAGAAAAAAAGCTGGTTTAGAGCTGCACTGGGATTTGTCCCCTATTGCCTGATGAAAGATGTTGGTGAGAACAGGATCCCACACACACAGTCCTCAGTCTCATTGAGGTCAAATATTATTAAAGTATAGAAAAAACTACATCATTATTCAACATGGTTGTCCTACACGTATATATAAAACACTAAGTTTTAAAGAGAGAAGCAGGAATTAAAACTTGCAACTGAGTAGTAAAAGGACTTAAGTGTTAGAAAGGACAGTCAGCATTCCCACAAAGTCCAAACTCGTTCTGTACCTAAACACAACCCAGGGACTGACGTCCTGCAGTGTGTTTGCTGAAGTGACACTGTATTGATTCATCCCTCCACAAAGCAGGGGCTAAAAACACTTACCAGATTTGAGGTCACCGAGGGCATTTTCGCCTGTGGCACACGAGGTAACAAGGCTGGCAGAGGATCGAGCTGCAAAGGGCTTCTGGCACCTGCCCTGAGTGTTTCCACTGTTATGATATTTTTCTCATCATCTGTGCAAAGCAACAGAGAGTTCCTGTCAATTCAGGCTGTTGGCACTGCTAGTCGTGGACAGTGCTACGAATCCAAATGTTTAGAGAGTCCTCTTGGATGGTAAGTTCTGCTAAATCTTTTGAAGGCATATCTCACACTGTCAACAACGTTACCTTCTTATTCCCGCTGCAGAGATCATCCCCCAGTACATCAACACATCTCTCCCCCACTGCCTCCTTGCAAAATCCACTCCCTGAAACCCCCTTTTCAGCCTTCACCTGAGCTGTGATCCTCACCAGAGGCTGACCCTTCCCAGTGCCTGCAGATCAGCTCCTCCATGCAGCCCAGGACCTCACTCCACACGTCATCAAACACGAAGGTGAGCACGGAATCCTTGGTGCAGGAATATGGGGAGATGGGAGGAAAGCCCAGTTTCTGTCTGCCAGAGGACAGGCCCCTTTTCCTCTCCTGCAGCTCCTCCTCCCTGTGAAAATGGAAGCACTGCCTGTACCACAAACACAGTGCCTTTGTCTCCTGCATTTGTTTTTAGTTCTCCCACCAACCTGAATAAGAAATGCCTGAGACAACCACACACCCTGGTTTCCCTGTACAGAATGACTCTTACAAATGATACTTCACAAATAATGAATTATTTACCAATAAGATCAAAGTCCTATTTAAAAGTGAGCATTAATAGTTGCAGTGATGTTTCTTCATCACATTGTCAAGCTCCATATCTAATGCCACTACAGAATGCTGAAGACAAGAGATGATATTATTTCCTGCAGCAACATCTCTCTGGCCTGGTCAAAGCAAGACAAGTAACAATTTAAATTTAGTGGTCCATGCAGCTTAAGTGGCTTTAATTATTAAAACCAATTAAGTAGTTAGGAACTGACAGTATACCCTCCAGAGTCCTTACCCAGGCCATATGTTCAGATTGTTGGGTGGGATAAAGTAAAGGGACAAAAAGATAAAAAAGAGTGGTAATTGTTTCTTGGAGAGCATCAAATCCACTCTTAGTTCTTAAATTACCACTGAAAAATCTGGAAAAGGTACAATTCCACCCAAAATAACAGTACAAAACCAAAGCAGCATAACAAACAACAATGAATTTGACTCAGTATAAAAAATAAATGGTGTTTAAACAAGTTTTATGAAATATGCAAGCTCTTAGTTACGATGGAATGAACTATTCAAACCAGGCACAAAAATGGATGGTATGAAAGATGACAGAAAATTTCAGAAAAGATAATAAACTGTCCTAGGAAAAGAGTAGGGAGAATTCTCAGTTCCCTGGCAACTTCAGGCCTTTGAAAGTTCTCTAGGGAAAAAGTATTAAAAAAAAATAAACTCATCAAATACAGCAGGAACCCCAGGCCACTGGTACTAGTTGCTGTCTTAATATTCAATACCTACACATCTCTGCAGTCAAATGCCAAATATTCCTCCACTATGCCTTCGGAGAGAATTATTTCCTCTTCCCCTTCGTCACTCTCTGAGGAACACAAGGTCGGAGACTGGGAAGGGTCGGCCTTTTTGTGAGCAGGAGTAACAAAAAGAGGGACCTTCTTGCCAAAAACACTAAATCTGAACAGGTGACAGTTGTCAGAAAGCAGAAATGAAAATAAGTTATTAATTCCACTTCAAATAACTGAGAGACAGCATGGTACTTAAGGCCGTGGGAGACCAACAAATTATTCATTACAGTAAAAACTTTTGCTTTGGATATTTTTTAATTCTTGCTAAAGAACTTGAAACTTCAGGGAAATAAAATCAGAAAGCATTTTGAAACATTAAATCGTAATAGTACTAATGCACTGTTTTGTATTTTTGATGTTCTACACAAATTTAACAGATGATTAGCAATAAAACCAGCTACAAAACATACACATCTTTAAGCAGTCAGCAGCAGCAAAGATATTTCTATTTACTGACCAGGTCAAGGTAGTCAGCAACGAGCACAGTTATGTAGTCTTGCTGCTCTGAATGTACTATTTTCAGTTAAAAAGGAAAATAAAGTGTGCTTGTGTTCGAAACTCAGCCGGACAGGAAGGAGTCAGGGCTGCACATTTTTAAGCAGCAGAGGACAAAGCTGCTTCTCACTGCCTTGTTCCCAGCAGAGAACAAAGTGACCCTCCCACCTCGGTCCAGCCCGGGCTCTCCACAGGTACTCACTCATCAGCATCCTGCTCTGGAGGTGAACTTACACCTGAGGGAGCCCGACTGCCCGCAGGGGAACTGGAGAACCATCCATACCCTTCATCCGTGGGCACCACCACCTGCCTCCCCACAACCCTGCCGGGGCACAAGCAAAGGGGACACACGTCAGGAGGTGCTGGAAGGGAGGTTGCTGAAGTGTGTCAGAGCAGCAGCACACCCTAAGAGCTCTTCTGGGGAGCTGTGCAGTTTTCCTGGTGGTTGGTTCAGTTGTTTTCCCTGGTACAGGTTGCTTTGAGCCAGGTAAATACATCAAGAAAGTCTGGCCTGTTTGGTTTTTTTTTTTAATGCTCTGCTAACTGTAAAACTTATGAATATGGACAAAACTGTTTCAAGTGCACGTAATGAAGATTTAAAATGTAAGTTTTCAGACAGCCATAAGGACTGCTGAATTAGGGGAGGAGGGTTTTTACATGATTTTAAGCTTATAGCTCCACCACAACAAAATCTGCTGTGCTTAACAGAGCAAACCCCAATTTTCTAAGAGAACTCTGCTATGTTAAGGCCAAATCAGCTGCAAATAGCCATAAACCTCTGTCAGGGAACCAAATGTGAGGTAACAGACTGCTTATTTTAATGACCAGAGTGATCTTTTTATTTCTCTCTACTCCATAAGTGCATAAACCCACCCTGCTACTCATGTTTTAAAAGCAACTGTGTCTATCCCTACCCTTTTTGTGAGGGGATTGGCATTAGTCTGTCCATAAAATACCTGAGATGAGGAAAGCTGGATGTCCACTGCTGGCATTCCTCCCACAGTCCCTCCACATGCTCATTTTCTTTCTGCTCATAGAGAAGCTCATCAATTTGTCTGAACATCTGCTGAACTTGTTGTGTGGCAGCTTTATCAAATTCCTAGAAAGGGAAGTTATCCAGTAAATACCTAGTGAACAGTATTTGCATTTGCAAGGGGGGGGTGTTAATTGATTCTTCTTTAATATAATTGAAAAAGACAACTATTTGTTTAAAGCTTAACAGGACTGCATAGAAGGATTTTAACTTGAAACCATTTCCTCCCAGAGATGATCATTTCCCCCCTGCTGCCAAGACTGAAGGTGGCCACATAAAAAGCTTACATTGACATGGCACATAAACTACTAATGTAATAACACAGATATTTCAAAATGTTTTAAGTTACAAGATATAGGAATTTACATAAATCAGAACAGGAAAGATAGAATTCAGTGATATTTTAATGCAGTGGAAGATCTGTGGCTTGCAACAGACAGACAACAACAAAACAAAAGGCAATGCAGGCTGGTGGGAAACAGTGAAAGGGAGGGATGGTCAGGACCTTTACATGTGCTCATGTAGCCAGAAAATGAGATCAGTTCTGGGGTCATTAAAATGTGTTCTGAACTGGGAGAAAGAAAAAAATATGTTCTTTTTATAATCACCATCATGGTTTATTAACAGATCCAATCCTCATTTTTATCCTGAAATGTCTTTGCCATGGTATTTTGAACAGTTTTCTCCTCACTGTGGTAGGTTTGGCTTGGATGATATGTTCTACTCACATCATAGCCCCAAGAGAAGACTGAGCTGTCCTCAGTGGAGGTGTCAGCACAGCTCTCACTGGCAGACCCTGCATTCCCATGATCAGCTGATTCCCTCCGGATTTCTGACTCCCTGAAACCCACAAAAAATAAACAATGGGCAAAAAATAAACAACGACAAATGCAGTGTGTCAGCAAACAAAGCCTGGCTGTATCAGAACAGCTCTGGGAGAGATGTGCCCACAGTACCTGGAGACGTGGCCGTGGTTTTCAGCCCTGGGTGTGGCTGAGCACACCTGAACTCCTGGCTCTGGCAGGGGGTGATGCCTCAGGGCATGTTTTGGGAGTCCTTGTCTGAAAAAAAAGCAGCAGAACTTGACAAGTTACTCGCAAGAACAAATGTTTGCAGAGTTCCCAAGAAGTTTAACAGGTTTTTCTTTTCTGCTTTTCAAGGAATGGGCATGCATCTGTTGTTATTAGAAGGCTAATTCTTGTTACTAAGGCTTTAGGTAAGGACCAGAGAAAATGGCCTCAAGTCGCACCAGGGGAGGTTCAGGTTGGATATTAGGAAAAGTTTCTTCGTGGAGAGGGTGGTCAGGCATTGGAACAGGCCTTGGTGGAGTCACTGTCCCGAGAAACGTTTAAAAGGATGTGGATGTGGCACTTGAGAGCATGGTTTAGTGATGAACACCGTGGTGCTGGGTTAATGGTTGGACTTGATCTCAGAGGGCTTTTCCAGCCTTAATGATTCTGTGATTCTATGAAACATGCACTGGCAAGTTGGGAGGAATAATTTTTGGTAGTTTTTCATTTTGTCAAACTTTGGATCAAGGAGAGAGAGACAAGAAAAGTAGCATTAATTGGAGACAACAAGTACCAATGCAGGGCAGAAGCCCTGTGTCAAACAGCAGCTGAATGAGGCTTAAATAGAGAACTTCTCTCTCCTGTCATTTCTCTGCTGGCCAGAAATGTCAGAATTAAACATAAAAAGGCTGTAGATCAGTCACTAACTTCCAAAATGGATATATTTGTTCAATACATATTAAATACAATCAAATACACATTTGTTTAATACAAATACATAAAAAAAAAAAAAAGGCCAACATATCAATTGGGTCAGAACTGACCCAAAATTATTGTTACCGAAGGTTTACATTTAAGGTATCAGAACTGTCGTTATAGTACTATATTTAAGAATAGTTATATATTATAAGCAGGGTCTTCACTTTGAGACGTCTTCCTTTAAACTAAAAACGTTGTGAATTGCGCTGCAGCTCCCCGAGCGCAGAGACGATGCCGCTGTCCCCGGGGAGGCGAATTAAATTAAATCAAACAGGACAAAAGCAGCCAAGTCGGTCAGAACCGACGCTGCTCTTGGGCCAGGGACACCAGGAAGGGCAGAGCAGGGATTTAACCCGGGGGGACCGCGGGGGGACACGGGCGGCGGCCGGGCCCTCGCGGGGCCCTGTCTGCGGCCGGGGGAGCGCGGGCGGCGGGGCCGGGATGAGGACGGGCATGGGGATGGGGATGGGCATGGGGATGGGGATGGGGATGGGGATGGGGAGCGGGGCCGGGATGGCGATGGGGGCCGGGGGAGCGGGGCCACTCACGGCTGCACCGGTTTGCGCGCGTATCGCGATATCATCCTCAGCGCCGCCGCCCCGCCGCCATCGCGCCGCTCCTCCCGCGGGGGCGGAGCGCGGCCGCGCCGCGATGGAGGCGCTCGGTCGCTCTGTTGAGGTGGGGTCGCTCGGGCGGCCCGCGCTGCCCGAGGACGCGGTGCGGTACCGCCTGTTCGCGCCGGGCCCCGGCGGGCAGGAGCTGCTGCGGCGCTGCGCTGAGGCGGCCCTGGTGCGGCTCGCCCCGCTCCTGGCCGCCTACGTGTGGCACCGGCAGCCGTTCCGCCTGCGATACGAGCCGGCCAGGGGTGAGCCCGGGAGCGGGACCGGGGGGAGCCGGTGTGTGAGGGGGGACCCGGTGGGTGAGGGGGGACCCCGTGTGTGAGGGGGGGCCGGGGGGTGAGGGGGGGCCCCGTGTGTAAGGGGGGGACCCGGTGTGTAAGGGAGGACCCCGTGTGTAAGGGAGGACCCCGTGTGTAAGGGGGGGACCCGGTGTGTAAGGGAGGAGCGTGCGAGGGGGAGCCGGTGTGTCAGGAGGGACCCGGTGTGTGAGAGAGGGACCCGGTGTGTGAGGGGGAACTCAGTGGCTGAGGGGGGGACCCGGTGGGTGAGGGGGGACCCGGGGGGGAAGGGGGGGGCCCGGGGGGTGGGGGGGGACCGGGTGGGGGGGGGGGGGACCCGGTGTGTGAAGGGGAACCGGTGTGTGAAGGGGAACCGGTGTATGAAGGGGGCCCCGGCCAGGCCTGTCAGGTGTATCCAGGAGTTTGTAAGAGGGACCCGGCGGGTTCACAGAATCCCCAGAACGGGTCAGGCTGGAAGGGACCACAGTGGGGCATCTGGTCCAACCTTGCTGCTCCGGCAGGGCTGTCCCAGAGCACACGGCACAGGAGTGTGTCCAGACAGCTCTGGAATATCCCCAGTGAGGGACACACACCGTCTGTGGGCAGTT